TTTTAGTTTGGATTAGGCCTCAACAAACTGTCCTTCCTTTTTTCCCAATTCTGCTTACTGGAGAGGGGGCAGAAGGTATTGGGAGGGGCGTATTTCTCGGGAGTTCGGGAGGCGTGTCCTGTAACATCACAGTTTCGCCATGAGGTATTTTAAAGGAAACTTGTGGTGGATATTCAGCTGAACTTGTTTCCATAAATATTACTGCGTGTTACGACAGTTTCAAACAAGTTTCAAAAATAATTGATTTCATTTGGAAGTGTAAACAAGGCGGTAGTTTAACAATTCTCAGAATATACTTCCGTGAACATATGCACGAGGGCGCTATTTTGATGTTGTCATTCAAGACACTCTTGGTCAAAAGAGTATAAGAACATTACAAAATCGAACACTTAAAATCAACCACCAACGTTGTTTTGATGAAATATTGGCAAATACAAAATATTGAAATTTCTTTCTCTTTCTGCTACAGAGGATGAAGCTGTTCTTCATTCATCCAACTCATAAAAATCATATCACATGGTTCCTATAATACGGTTATTGACATCGTTCAACTCCTGGGCTGGACCTGGAAAACATGTTGGACGTGCCGATGAGTTGAAGGACACCATTGTAGACTCGAACTGCAGTACAACGATGTTGCTTCACGCGTACCATAAAATAGTTAATATCTGCATATAATCCTAACACATCTTCAGCAAATCCATGCAGTTATACCCAAAATATATGAAGAGCATACAAACACAAGAGGGCGTTGTTATAAATCAACTTCTCGGTTGACACAATCAACGTGTTGTGGAAGCCTTTACACAAAAAAATTACAGAAATTTCAAATCAAATTAATTTTCAGCGTATCATACCTCCAGCTGCCATGATAAGTACCAGGCAGACAAGGGAGTCATTCTTCATCGGCAGCGTCATTACATCTTCTTCAATCGTCGGCTCAATCCGGGGCAAGAAAAAAGGGAAATCGGGGATTCAACTACCAACGCAGTTACAATAATGAACGTCTGACTACATTGTAGGGACAACATTCGCGTCTTCTCTCCGGAGCTATTTCGGTGTCTATTGACGATTTACGAGGGGTGGAAATGAACAAAAGTCGGGTGCATGTTTCCGCAGGATTGTTTAAACAATTGGCTATTCGGAGCCATGACCGTTGACCGTATTGACCTGAGCTGCAACGTTTCCTTACTGCCGCGGCCTTGGAACAACATGGTCAGGTAGTTGGGTAACATTGTGAGCACTCTGCACAAGCACGTACTGTACATGTACTGTACATGTACATTCTTCCGTATGCCTTGATATCTTGCCAATATATTGTATTTTATTCTGAAGTTGCTGATAGCGGTGGAAGTATGTGGAACACTACCCGCACGAAGTCAGGGCTCAAAACCTTTGAACTTCTGACACCAGCTAATGTGTCTTTTAAGGGAAAGTAAACTTGTGGCACAGGGAATTTTGCTGACAACAAAATTCTTCGCAATACTCGAACTCTGTTATCAAACCATACAACATTATTTGTGAACAATGCAACTGATTCCGGCAGTTACCTAAGACATGTGCTTATGACCAAGTGCTCTGATAGACTCTGCTATCTGCGGGAAAATTGGGAGAATTCTGCCTGGTAGACTGTCAGACTGCCGCTTTAATGGCTGGTGCCTCGATCGATCGCGCACTTTGATCGCGAACACTGAAGCCTGGCTCGTATTGACAATTTGACAATCGCAGTCCTTCGCTTGAGAACCTTTTCAAACTGATGTTAAAAACTCTATCAAACGGATAACACACATAGCTGATTTAGGTGGCCTGTAACAATGTTTTTTAAGCCCAAAATTTCCCAGTAACATCAATTGAGTCGGCGTCCTCAAATAGGACACCCAGACGTGTTCAAAACTCACTTTAATTATTTTCCTTGTGAAACTCAACACTACCTGTTTCAACGGACGTGGTGTTACGAGGTGAGCCGGGTGACTAGTGGGAATTCGGTAGTATTTCCGGGCCGTGCGTTGGGTGGTTGTGCCGGATGAGGCGATGGACAGCCGCGCAGTCGTCTTCAGGGCCACATTTTAGTGGTGGTCGGTCGTCTTCGGGGCCGCGGTGGAGTGGTGGGCGGTTGTCTCTGGGGCCGCAGTAGGGTGTGGACTGGTGGTCTTTGGTGCAGTTGTCTGTGGAAGAACGATTACTTTCTTATGTGGCTGAGTGGTTGCTTCAGAAGCCAGTGACATAGGTGCCTTTGGATAAATATTTTGGACTACTTTTCATAGGAGTTCCTCCCAAATGAATAAGCTCATGGTCACTGAAAAATACACAGCATCCACCAGATAAGTTTATATGCAAAGGTTTCTGTTCTTGGACCTTGGCAAAGGCGCCAGAACGATTTTCAAATTGGGGGCCAGTAGTAAGAGCATGGGGCATCAGCCATTAATACGCCGATGCATTAAGACCAACCCCATACCGCCCCGAGCAGAAGCATCCCCCAACAGGTTGAAAAGAGCCTTGTTGGTCGAAGGTGGTCGATTTGTTGGTAGCGATGCGACAGTGATGCTTGCATTGCCCATTCGTTCGTGAACCACCGAAGTTCGGTTCCGACCAAAGGAGCCTCGGTTACGAAGAAAATATCGTCCTCTCTTGGTCCAGCTCAAGGCCCATATATATGACCTGCAGCAAGTGGGCCCCAAATCGAAAAAGTGGGGGGGGTGGACCACTGGGCCCCTCCCGCCGACCCGCTTCAGCCGCCAATGAACTTTGGTCGACCGTCAACCATTTCAAACTGACCAATAAAAGTTCGCCCGTAACCCCATCTTTCTCTCTTCTGTCAACTTCGAAGGAAACATTCGTTCAAAAGCTACCATACGTGAATTTCGCTTGAAAGAAAAAGTGCTCTCCGCAGAGACATGTAACCGTTTGTACGTCTGTGGTTGAATGAAAAAGTCAAACCCCTATACAAATGGCAATGTCCAAAAAGACAGATCAAGAGTTTCTAGATCTGATACTCTGAAACACAAAACACTGTTGTTATCTTGCCTTCGGTTCAGTCAANATTTTTTTTCTTCGGCATAGAAATCGAGTTGTCAATTTTAAAATATTACAAATAACTTCCTTTACAACTGAAGCAATGGTACAACCTTCACAAAAGATGTTACCCAACCTTTCGCTTTTTAAATAAGCATATATTGCAAACCATTAAGCAAACATGCTGACGTCTTTACGTACGTGATTGTAAATGACTTTTCTTCAAGTGCAAGAATTCGTGACAAGTTGCCAGTGTTTCTTTCGCAACCGCAAAAACGCACTTCGATTTCGCTCTCTGCCCTTCTTTGGTATATATCGGCTGTAAAGTCTTCAACGATTTCCGCGGCAAGATTCCAGTTTTTCAGTTACTCAGCAGATGAGCAGTTATTATTATGCTGGCAGATACGGGGATGAATTTTAAGCAGACAATCGGGTGTGTTATTTACAACAAAGTAAAAGTAGTTCAGTCGCATTTCCATCTTTTTCTCTGTTCAACTGCCAGAACGTATTCTGTGAAATTACTTTGGGCATCTCATAGAACAAACCGCTCTTCGGATGCATCACGGGTCATGGTCATTAAACCATGGACTACAAATGAAATCAGAATTTCAGCGTGAAGCTAAAAGCTTAAGATGTGACTTGGCAGGAGGCAGACACTGCTTTGTCGTGATCGTGCAGTTTCGATAAGTCCTGCTGTATTGTGCCAGTCTTTCATATACTGCGTTTGGGGGTCGAGTTCTGGTCTGGTCTACACACACCACGTCCACATCAATGGCGGATCTACTTGTTTTTTTTTTAATTGAATATGAATGTTGTGGGGAAGAGGAGAAACTAAATTATCTCAGAGACAGTCGTCTCTGTTTCTTCAAAATCGAGAGAGAGAAAAGAATTCCAGGGGGGCTGGGAGTGTGAGGAGAGCCTAGCTGGAGCCTTCTTTGGCCCCTCGGTCCGCCATCGGTCATGCCCCAGTCTCCAGGGTGTCCATGACGGCTCCGTACGGGATCTGCTTCGGCCGCCGTCTCCTGACGATCAGGCACACCGCACCGGCAACCACTAGAGCGGCGAGAACCGCGCCCACGACCGTACCGACGATCAGGCCGGTGTGGTCTGTGGGAGCACTGACTGGGACGGGGGAGGTGGGCCGCCAGGTGGTCATCGAGAGGTTGGAGGTCGCTTCCAAGGTGGTAGCATTTGGCAGGATCTCGGTTGTCTGCAATGGCTGGGTCGTCGTTGGAAAAACAGGCCGGACACTTGGCGTTGTTGGGTTACACACGTCCTCTAGGCAATTGAAAATTATTGGAGAATAAGAACACATCCAATCAATCATCAAATCTAGTGCATGAGTCCCAGTGCTCGT